ACCATTTGGAATTGAATTTAGAGACAAGCATACAACCCACGCAATCGGACCACCATACCCACTCTCCGACGACGACGAACCCAGCCATCAACCCCACAGCAACCCCGAGTGGCTTCGCCTACCCCCTCACCCTCTCTCCATCTCCGACCTCGCTTTCCACCATGTAAGAATCGTACAGTTTACAAGTTTCAATTTTGTTTGTATTCGCCGTCGTCTATGCCAGGGAGCTGAGAGACAGAGAGTTACAATGAGGATGGGTTTGTGGCTAGGCATGGGGCGGAGAAGGTTTGGAGATACGGTGTGGTGGCTGGGATGAGGGGGGGTTTGGGAGGTAGGTGATTTGGGTTTGGAAATACAACAATGGTGGAGGGTTGATGGCAAGGAGTTATGCGAGTACGGAGGAATTGAAATGGGCGCTAGACGCCAGGCGGGCCTCTTTCATTTTTCATAAATAGTATAGCCGCGCGGCTATACCATTATTTGGGTTTAATGGATGAATTTGGGTTTTTGGTTATTTATTATTTGATTCTTGTGGATGAATTTCCGAATTTACCCTCACTTTTGATAGAAAATTTAACAAACTTGACGGAAGGACTACTGGTGCAACAAAGCACCTAGTTGAGTGACCCCGAAAACTAATAATTGAATTGATGGACCAAAGTGTAACTACGGGTATAGTTGAGGGACCATTGCTGCGAATAACCCTTAACTTAAATATATATAAAGTAAAAGGTAGAGTTTTTTCCTATATTTATAAATCAAACAGATGGAGATAGGCTGAGGTGAAGGTACGGAATAGTGTCATACCCTATTACCGCCATCGGTTAACAACTTACTTAACTGTAGATACAAACACGACATGTCGTTTGCCTGCACCAATTGGATATTTTATTGAACGCGCTTGCGGGGACGGTGCGTTGACGTATCAACCAAAGTTATGCTTTACGAAACTGTCTGGTGAATGCAAGAGAAGAGAAGCAAGATCCAATCTTCCAACAGTTCCTCAGGAGGACAAGAAAACCCAACAAACAATAAAGAAAGAAGAGAGGCAGAGACTCGCAAATTCAATTTCTTTGCTAATAATAGCAACAATCAAGTACGTGATACATTCAATTTTTGTGTTCTGTTTTCCTTTCTTTCTCTGTTTGTTCATTCACTTTGTTGCTTCCTGCTGCTGAGATTGTTTGAGATTGGCAATGTTAAGGTTACTGCTCCCTCATATTCAAGAACCCACCAATTCCCATTCGAGTATAGTGAATTTAATTCTAGTTCTTTCAAAACCCACTTTAAATTTCGTATTTTGATTCCGACCCAGTTCCATTTTCAGCATTTTTGTTGTTTATTCTGAGTTCTAGAGCGGGAGCAATATGCAAAAGAAAGAATTTATTCTACCCTTTATATGGATTAAATGGAGTCTTGGAGTTGGAACACCAGAATTAGGATTGAGACTACAGTTTCATAGTAGAAGGAACAAACTTTAAAGTTTGGTTTTTGTGGGAGTTTTCGTATCCTTTAGTGTTGAGTTATTGATACATTATGAATCTAATTGTGTTTATGAGGTACGCTTCATCTTTGAATTCCAATTTTTTGCAGTACATCATCAAGCTTGGCTGGAACATTTTGAACCTTTTGTCGCATCTTTGAGAATGTACACTAAGACCTTCGTGCATCGATGCCATTTTTTATCGTATTGATGAATCATTGCGTATCTTATAAAAGAAGATGAATTATAAGTTACAAGGGCTTGAAATCCAGTCTCAACTTGAAGTGAGTTTTATTTGCTTTCTTCTATAACTATAACTTTGTCACGTTTTTTTTTTTTGCCTACGTAATGTAACTCAAACTAAATAATGTAATGTCATTCCTGCATAGGCACTGGAAATCATCTTTAAGTGATGGTTTTGAATGTCATGGTGTTTCTTGTAACAGATGGAATCACTGGACAACAGTTCAATACATGAATTTGAGGATGAGAGTCTTTTTACTCCGGGGGCTGAGGCTCAAAAGACACATTCTATACAAGCAGTGGGGGAATGCTCATTTTCACGAGGTTCACAAGCTAGTGGTGATAAAGTGTGGAGAAATATATGTAGAAGCATAAAGACTGTAGTTTTCTCAACTAAGCTCAACTTGCTTATGCCTTTTGGACCTCTAGCGATATTTGTATATAAGTTAACTGGCCATAATGTGAGTTGCAACTTTCCCTTCTTTGCTCATTGCATTGCCCAATTATGTTTCTAATTTGTGGATGTGAACTGCAGGGCTGGGTCTTTTTCTTTAGCTTGTTGGGCATAACACCTTTAGCCGAGCGTTTAGGTTATGCTACAGAGTAAGTACCTTTATCCCTCTTTTCCAGCTGTATCCTAGTAACTTGAATTCTTAAGAAGCTAAGTGAACTTTATTTTTGCTCTTATAGGCAGCTGGCGTTCTATACTGGAGCTACTGGTAATGTTTTCCTTGTTCTTTTATTCCTAATCGGTTACTTCTTACCTCTTAATCCTTTTTGGATTGTTCAATCAAATTTTTCAATTGCTATACTGGAGCTGGAAATCTAAATATGCGTTTCTTTCATATCTGTGTGAGAGTTGACTTTTGCTTGATATTTCTGAAAGAAGTTGGAAAAAAAAAATGGAAAAGATATCTTGCTGAAATTAAACATAATCTAGGTTGCATTCTTTTGAGGAAAGGATCTTGATCTCATTGCTCCAGCGACAATTTAATAGAAATCTGCAATTTATACATGTAACAGCGGAGATGCATGCCTTTTTCGTAGTCTGTTTACCTCCTTGCTTTCTTTTATTTCCTTTTTTTTTTGGGTGTGAAGGAATTCAAGTTCATGTAGTAACGGAATGGTATAACAAATATCTCCAGTTTTCTTTGTTCATTATTTTTTTTTTATCAACAATTTATCCAGTTATATACATACAACATGCATAATATATATGTATTTTCCTGTTGTCATTAAAACTGTGGTGTGCTACATTGAACGTTGCATTCATACTTGTGCCTAAGCATTTGAGATTTTATCCTTGTATAATTAATGTTGTAGTGTCTTGTTAATGTCTTATAAAATGGTTATTTTTCCTTCTAGTTCAATTTTTGATATATCAAATTGGAACTTGCAGTTGGGGGTCTTTTAAATGCTACTTTTGGAAATGCAACAGAACTGATTATATCAATTTATGCACTGAAACGTGGAATGTTACGCGTTGTTCAGCAGTCATTGTTAGGTTCTATTCTGTCAAACATGCTGCTGGTGCTTGGTTGTGCATTCTTCAGTGGTGGGCTTGTTTTTCATGAGAAGGAACAGGTGTTTAACAAGGTAAACATATCAACTCTTTTCTTTTCTCTAGAATTTTCAAATCCTTTTATCTCTCTCTGAAGCTTATGTATACTGGGCAGGCAACTGCTGTTGTGAACTCAGGGTTGCTGTTAATGGCAGTCATGGGCCTACTTTTTCCAGCTGTTTTGCACTATACTCACACTGAGGTGCATTTTGGGAAGTCAGAGTTGGCACTTTCAAGATTTAGCAGTTGCATCATGCTTCTGGCATATGCCACATATCTTTTCTTCCAGTTAAAGAGTCAAAAGAATCTGTATGTTCCTCTAAATGAGGTTAGTTGAGGGTCTTTTCTTTTTGTGTGCAAATAATTTCCTTTTATTATTATTATCACCATCGTCATTGTTATTAATATTTTCAATATTTTAATTTGTTCATCCTTCGAGTTTGAAATTGTCAATGCGACTTTTAGCACCATTTACTCTATTAAGTATTAACTTAATGAATTTTGTGGTGGTATGTATGATATGAACTCAGGAAGTGAGTCAGAATGAAGAGAACTCAGATGATGATGAAGCTCCTGAGATCTCTAAATGGGAATCAATAATTTGGCTTTCAATAATGACGGCTTGGATCTCAATCCTATCGGAATATTTAGTTAATGCCATAGAGGTAAACGGAAGATGTTGTACTTGGGTTCTTTAGACCACTACATCTAAAGAAACATTTCTTTCCCCCTTCGTTTTTTCCTCTCTTTCCTGCCTTTTACATTGCAAGTGGTTGATTTCCAAGAGTTTTCATGGGAAAATTATTTTTACTAAGGATTTCAATGGGATGGAAGTATGGTGAAAGTTTGGAAACTCTTTGTCTTGTTGCTATTATGATTAATGAGCTTTGAGGTTGGATGATTGATTTGTAGGGAGCATCTGTAGCATGGAACTTGCCAGTTGCATTTATCAGTGTTATTTTGCTCCCAATTGTGGGTAATGCTGCAGAGCATGCAAGCGCGATTATGTTTGCCATGAAGGACAAGCTTGTAAGTCTCAAGTTTTTTGACTTCTTGTTTTTGTTAATTTGTGTTGCACTAACCGTGATTTTCTCTATAGGACATTTCTTTGGGAGTGGCAATAGGGTCATCAACGCAGATATCCATGTTTGGGGTGGGTACTCATCTGATGCTTTTTAATGTCCATTTAATGGTTCTTATGAAAAAATGTCTATTATGTTTCAAAACTATTGTTTTGTGTGTATACTGTTTTTCCTTGATTGGCAGTTGGCGTCCGATTTCTTGCAGAGAGATACATACCACTCTTTATTGTAAATTGTATATATTATCATCCCTGTTGATGATTGTGCAGGTTAATTGTGATAATTAATCATGATTTGGCATATATAAATATCTAAAAAAAATTATGTTTTAATTGTTGCAGATTCCTTTTTGTGTAGTTGTTGGGTGGATTATGGGGCGCCCTATGGACTTGAACTTTCAGCTTTTTGAGACAGCAACACTTTTTATAACTGTCTTAGTTGTAGCCTTTATGCTGCAGGTATACATTCGAATTCCTGTGATTAAGGACAAAATCACTTGATATATTTGGAGTTGAATTTAAAATGGGTTGCAGCACTTTTGAAGTCGATTATCTGCCTGAATCCACATTTTTGTGCTAATGAGCTTGAATTTTTGAACAAGTTCATAACATTATTTTTTAAATATAAATTTTTTGGTCATTGTAATATTTTCCTTTTTCAAAATTGTAACATTCCTTATTTGTCGGCCATGATTGGTTACAGGATGGAACCTCTAATTACTTCAAGGGGTTGATGCTTATTCTTTGTTATCTGATAGTCGCCGCAAGTTTCTTTGTTCATGTAGATCCTTCTCCAGCAGGTCTCTTCTTAAATTAGACCTCCATTTTAACTGCTGAATAGTTTATACTGAGCATGCTGTGTGCTAAAAGTTTATTTATTGACATATTGTTCATAATCTTGCAGATGAAACACAATCGAAAACGTAGTTGTGGAAGATGTTGAAGACGACTATAAACAGACAATCGAGTCTATTCGAGGACCGACTACATACGGAATGAGATGTGATATTGGAGATGATGCGCAATTAGAAACATAGTCCACGAAGCTGCGGGTTGCTCTGCAAATAATTTGGATCATCATCCTGTTTGTATATATATATATATATACGAGTTTTCACCTGCTTTTTAGCTTTTGGCCAACTTCTGCTTGTTTTGTTCAATGAATATTATCAAGCAGGTATCTTGCTGAGCTCTGGCTTGGATGTAAACCTTGAATAAGATGAGGGGAGTGGTGAATTTTACATAGGAAAAACATGTTCTTCTATCTACTTTTTTTGGTTTGAACCACAAGGTGGTCCCGGATGGGCCCCAACTATGGGTGGCACCTTTAAGCCTTAACCACAACCCAGACTAATCCCCGCTCACACCGGGTTGGCCTGTAAGGGGTAAAGTGCTGGCCAAAGTGGTTCTTCTATCTTTTCATTCGTGGTAAAAACTTTTTTTATTTTTGGGAATTATGTTACTCTGTAGTCGATTGTCTTCCTTTCCCATCTAGGCATAACATCACATCCATGGAGGGATAATTATCGAATTGTCACCCGAACTTATACCTCATTTTCAATTTGTCACCTTAAAGAAAAATTTAAGAGAAATGTCACCTTAATTTTTCAAAAGTCATGATTTGTCATCCGGCTTTAACACTATCTAATTTTCCATCCATTTTTAAGAGTATTTTAGTCTTTCCATTTTTAAGAAAAGAAATAGAGAAAACAGAGACCTCTCTCTCCCTTTCTCCCCCCTCCCAACCCCACCCGCCCCCAAAACAAATTCATAGGACCCCCCCATCCCCCTCTTCTCTCTCTCTCTCTTTGACCATGTATAAACTTTTTCTATAATGATTTTTCCATTTTTAAAATACCCTTAAAAATATAAAAGACTAAAATACCATTAAAATGGATGGAAAATTGGATGGTGTTAAAGTTAGATGACAAATCATGAATTTTGAAAAATTAAAGTTACATTTCTCTTAAATTTTTCTTTAAGATGACAAATTGAAACTAAGGTATAAGTTCAGGTGACATGTCTACAAAAATCCTCATCCATGGATAATGGTTGCTTGTATGATTATTAAGTGAGAATAATTGGTTAGATATTTTAAACAACTTTGGAAATTATGATCAATCCAGCAAAGACAAAATGGCATTTTGGAAAATGTACAAATCTTGAATTAACCTTCAGGGCATGTATACTATAAGGATGATACTTCCCTCCTTACCCATACCTTACCTGGTAATGTGGCTCAATCACAAATTGACATGTGTCTTTTTTTTGGAAGTCTCAAAAGTGTTTTTCCTTTCTCTTTCATTAGTATAACTAATTTCCTTTTTCATTACATACCTTAGTTAAATTTTATGTCTGTTGTGGACTTTTCTAACTCCAACCCCAACAATTCACCTTCATCCAAATTACCATTGACAATATTGAAATTGGTAGCATAGTTTCTTCATAGAGGGGTTTTTTTTTTTTTAAAGGATATAGACATTTTTGAATCAAGCAAACTTTGAGTTGTAGAGACCGTAGAATACGAAATTAAAATACATCCGTAATGTCTCCTTCCCTAGTTATGAAAAACTAAAAAGGTGGTTTGTGGGATGGATGAAGGCAATTAAAAAAAAAACCCCAAGAATTCAATTATGAATAATAAAAGAGAAGAAACAAAAATATTTTTTAGGAGAAAAAATGCACATGTCAATTTGTGATTGAGCCAAATCATTAGGTAAGGAGGGAAGTATTGTCCAATCTGTAATTGGATAAGGAGGAATCGAATTGAGGAGGAGTTGGATTGAGGAGAATTAGATTCTGAATTCCTATTGAAGTTGTTTACTAAACCATATGGAATTGGGTTAGGAGGAGTGGTCTTAATTACTAAAATGTCCTCGTTGGTGGGTTAAAGTAGATGGCAAATTTGGAATGTTTAAAATTGTGAGAGGATATAATGGGTAAAAAAGATAAATTCCTAATAAGTTAGTTCTCTAGAAATTAGAATACCACCTCCCACCCAATAATTGAATTAAGAATTCAATTCCTACTTTTGTATGGGCCCCACTTACTTTTTAATTCATTGTTGTGAAGTAAACACATGAATCCTCCATGAGTGAAATTCAATTCCTGATTAGTAAACACATTATTAATAGAAAATTTGAGGTTGTTAGTCATGTGAGACGGGATTGAGATTGGGATATACGGCCCTGTCATTTGACAAGGTGGGAAGTTTGTCTGTGGTGGTATGATATTTCCTGCACATGGGATCTTTCACCTCACGTGTTACAGTGAAATCATTACCCCATCACATAATGTGACCAATTTATCAATACTATAATGTGATTTTAATATAAATTCGTAAACACGCAAATTTGTGAAATGTCATAACGTTGTTACTATACAACACATTGACTTTTCATCGAATTATTTGTCAGCATAGACGCATTTTGGCATTTTCTTGATCTTTGATTTTTCTATTGCTTGTATCTAAGGACCTTCACAGAATCACGTCAATGAACAAATAGTGACTTGGAAGAAATCTAGGAAAAAACAACGCCCTCGAAATTATCAGTCTGTGCATACGTAAGCGTTTGAAATTCAATAAAAGAATACAATCGTATGATGAACAAATAGTAAGGTAACAACTTGGTTAGTTCGTACCAAACTGTCAACTATGTGCCTCACCAGAAAAAAACCAGTCAACTACACCTTGCGTGAAATGAGAATGGAATAACTTTTTGTAGTTCCACTTGTTGCTTTCAATCCATAGTTTCTGACGTTTGGTTGATGAACCAGCAGGACTTTATATGCCCAACTTTTCTATGGCATGCCACTTTTTACCTCGTGTGAGATGCCAATCTGTTTATTTAAGCCTTCAAATATTTGATCGATCGAAGTTTTTGAGGGAGAAAGATGGTTGGTGGTGGTGAAGCAGAAGAAGATGAGCAGTTGCCATTGCTCATAAGCTCTTCTTCAACAAATGAACTCAGCCAACAACCTCTCAAAAGAACTGGTAATCTGAGCTCAGCCCACTATTTCTTGTCTTGGTGATCTTCATTCTTTTGTTTTTTTTGGCAATTTTATTGAGGCAGATTCATACATATAGTTAGAAATTAAGAAATCTGTAAACAGAGGACTATGATGGTTCATTTCATTTAATTGGGTAGAAGTGGTTTTTTGTTAGGTATGATTGGTAGTTGAGGAAGTACAAAAAAAAAAATTCAGTGGTCCTAAAACCCTTTCTGGAGATGATACTTGTGAATCTCTCTCCACTTTTTAATGTCTCTCTCAACGGATGTTTCAGTTTCATGGCAAATCTGGACTTAGCTAATATAGATATTTTCTGAACCAATGCTTGATTTAACCTTGGCTCTCAAATGTTCTTAACTTTTCAACAATTTGGTTTGCTTGCACTTTCTGCTGGATTGTAATAGAATCTGCAGAATGTCATAAAAATTTGGAGGCTAATTTTGTATATGAATTTTCTCTTGGCTTTCAATATAATTTCCATATCTAAAATGCACCTTCTTCAATTTGGGCTGTTTCTGCACTTTCTGCAGAACCTAATTTAAGACTTGGAGGCTGATTTTGTAAATGATTTGTTATGTATAGGAACCATATGGACTGCAATAGCACATATAATCACAGGTGTGATAGGAGCAGGGGTACTATCCCTTGCATGGAGTGTGGCTCAGCTGGGGTGGCTTGCAGGTCCATTGCTTATGCTAGTCTTTGCTGCAGTCACCATTCTTTCAAACAACCTCCTCAGTGACTGCTACAGATACCCGGATTCGGATGGCCCGACCAGATCCCGATCCTACTTGGAAGCTGTCAAGATCTACTTAGGTTAGCATTTCTAACTCTCTGTCTAAACATAATCTCTAAGTTTTCTTTTTCTAATTTTGTCACATGCCATTGTAAATTTTGATGCAAAGATGTTCACTTTGGTATCTTATGTTTTCCAAAACCTTTGTATCTACATGCATTACTTCAAAAACTAACTAGAGTAATGATAGGTTTAGTCGCTCATGTGCAAGTGGATGACCATGAGCCGTTGATGCACGGTCACCCAATTTCACGTGGGGTACTGAGCCTAGCATAGTTTATAAGTACATATAAATTATCAACTTTGACCTGTGTATGATGGAATTTTAGGAGAGAAATGGCAAACAGTGTCTGCAATATTTGTACATGAGAGCTTATATGGCTGTGGCATTGCCTATACCATTACAGCTGCTAGCAGCGTCAGGTATTCTTTATCAAACCTTTCTCTGCCTTTGAGTTGAACATTCTTTGCCTATATCTTGCTTGTTTGCTTCCTTATTCTCTGCTTAATTTCTTGTTGGAGTTGTTTTGCAAATCCTAAGTTCTTTCATTGCATCAATTGTTTGCCTGAACTTTTTTAATTGAATCAAAGTGCTTTGACTTTTTCATTAAAAAAAAAATAAAATCGTTGAGGCCTTTTTTTTGGGTGGGTTTTGAGACCTTTTTCAACAACAAAAAGCCGATAATCCAATTCAAGATGGCTCTTGCAACTCCTTCTGTGATGGGCCAAAATTGCTATTTATATTTGGGCTAATAAATTGAACACAATTCTTTTGGGTCTTTTAATATGGTAGACTGGTTGGGTTTTTTTGGGTCAATCTGTTAGTTATTGAGTTTTTGACTCTATGACTATTCCAAGTAAAATGCCAAGGCACCGATGGAGCCAAGCCAACCAAGACAGGCCTCTACGCATTAGACATGAAAAGACAAGAGTAAGGCAATATTGCAGAAGGGGACAAAGCAAAACATGTCAAGCCAAACTTGAATAATTGAAATGGGAATCAATGGCCATGGCTTAGTTTGGCACCTCTGAAACTGACCCAGCAATTTCTGTGATGTGAGGACAAGTTTGAAATGATAAGAGATCAACAAATCTGTCTCAACCAAATATCAGCATGTCATGCTGTTTTTTAAGGGGTTAATTGCATATAGCCCCTCAAATTTTAGAGTTTATTTCAAAGATCGGGTACTAATTTGAAATGTGGACCTTAAAGTTTGAGGGAGCTAACCCAAAAAAAAAATTATATGATTGTTACTAGATTCTTGCTTAGATAAATAC